TAATAGATACAAAAAAAACGAAGATATTTTTGGGGAGAAAAAGTTATCTTGGAAAGTTTAAGAAAGATAACAAAATCTGACATAAAAATCGATGTGAATTTGTTGTTATAGACGATAAAGGGATCCGATAAAACAAACATCAAATCAATCGAGTATCATTTAAGAGTTTAGATGCGTGATGCAAAATAAAGAGAAAGAAAGAAGAAATGATCGAGATTTCCCTTCAAACAGACTTAATGTATGAAGCATAAAGCATATAAAAATTTGTGTGAGATTCTCATGCTGTATTTAGGTCATTTAGTCATTAAAAACAGCACTTTTTTCTCCTCTAGTTCTTTCTTTTTTCTTCATAATTTCATTTTCTGACAAAAAATTTCATCTCAATCTATTTTACTCGGCATTCATCTTTTCTAATCTTTTTTTTGTGTCTTAGTCTTTTTGTAGTAAAAGAATCACAGTTTTTTTGACTTTATTTCTTTTTCTCTCTCGTTAGTTCGATTGCTTTGAGACACAGTTAGACATTATTATTCGCTCCATGCCCTGTGCATATTTAATTCCTCTTTTCCTTCTCAATAGACCAACATACTTCGTTAAATTGAACTGGGATGCAGTTAGGTAATTTTGAGAGCGTTCCTTGGGCAAGTTTCTAGTGCTATCCGTAGCAAACTACTCTAGAATCGAAAATTGATGTACCACAATTTTGGGGATAAATGATAGACTTAGTTTACTAGAATTTGAAAAATTAAAGATTTGCTAAGCCCCTGCTTAAACCTAGACTAGATGTTTTGGGAATGATTTGAATCGCATTCTACCTGTGAGCATGAATGACTCACTCTTGGCTACATCACTGACTACCTCCCTGATCAAAGTTCATATGTGTGTGCATGTTTTAAAGTGTTTATCTCTAAATAAATAACGAAATTGTTTCAGTCTCTTTTTCTTTCTTTTTTGCTGTCTTGCATTCTTATGCTTATTCATGTATATCTCTGTCTCTTCAAAGTGGCATTTCTAAAGACATAATTTTTTGCTTGAAAACTTCATTCCGTTTGTTCAACAGATGATAGCACAAAAATTAAGTATAATGTAGAATGTATTTTGTAAAACACTTAAAACACAACATAAGTTCTATGTATTTATAATTTTTTTTTGCACAGTAAGACATTTGCAGTTTGTAAAAGAAATAAATAGAAAGTTGTGGAAGTGAACGATGATAATTGAAAGAACTAAACGCATTTTAGGCTTTAATTGTATTACTTTTAATTGTTATGCAAGAACAACATAATTAAACTTGCTGCAATTTTGTTTGTATAAATTTATTTCAGATTTTTATGGAACGTGGAATGTTCTGCTAATGCTTGAAGAAAAAGTAAATTTGTATTAAAATTGTGCAGATTTATGACTTGAAATTGCAATAAAATCAAATAATTAGCATTGATCGCTTTGCCAACTTACTAATCAGATAGCTAATTTAAAGCTTACCCAGATTTAGACCAAACCTAGGTTTGATCAAGACCAACTTAAATCGAGCTCAAATCTAAGCTTAATGTGAACTAAAGTAAATATCTTAAGAAAATCGTCGTTCTCGTTTAGTTCATCATATCCCACAAAACATAAATTCAACGATCATCAAAACCATCTTGACTCTTAATTTATGAAGATTGACCTCCATAGCTATTAATACGTCTTACACATTCTGAACCATAGCTTATCAATTAATAAAATTTTCTACTAATAATGTGAGAATACATAATTAGAGACTAGGTTAAGGACAGATTTTCAATGTGTCTCAAATTTCAACCTTAATTAATAAACTTAGATCAAATTTCTCTAACCATAGACCAATGCTAATCTAGTCAAAATGAGTGCAACAATTTGTGTTTATGTTGCAAAAAAGAAGGCACATGAAACTAAAAATATACTAAACGTTCTGCTATGTATTACTACTTATTTTCATTTTAAATAAAATATGCATCATTTAAAGTCAGTAGCGGAACTAAGGCGTAGTCGACTGTCTAATAACTTTCTATATTGTATAACAATAATAAGTCAGTATGTTTCTATGTTGCTTCCCAAGAACAATTCTTTTATTTTATTATTTTCAACGGTTTTGCTTCGATGACTTTAAGTACAGAACAAGGTTCGAGTAGACATCGAAAATTGCATAAATTAATTTAATCATTGAGAAAATAAATGTTTTATTCTCACTTCTATCATTAAGTGCAGATCAGAATACCGAAATAAAATAAAAAAAATAATAATAGTCACATAAAAGAAGTCGCAATTATGTTCACATTATATACTTTTATTACCCTCATCTATGTTATAATATCTTTTTGAGCTAAAATTGCGGGAAATGATGATTATAAGGAACTATTAATGAAAACAACTAACGTATATACAATAAGCTATTATTTCGCATCGTTTGACACATAAAGAGTTCAATAACCTACACGCATATGAAATATTTACTATAATAATAATTTTTTTTTGTATGAAAATTTAGATTCATTATGAATAAGCACAACAGGTGCACACAACGGTGATTAAATTATTTTTTTTCCCTCTTATTTCGATTATCAGTAAATTCTTTTTTTCCTCCAAAAATATTCAGTTAAATCAATCAAAATTCCATATGTTATAGCTCAAATAAGTAACGCACAATTCAAAGTAGATTGTTATCATTCTTATAAATTTTTGATTCAGGGTTGTTATCGGACTTAACACTTGAATGTGTGAAAGTCTTTTGATATCATTCAATGTTCAGGGTCAGGAAGCTACTGAATAGTTATTGTATTGTGGATTAGAAGACTTCCTTTTTGGAACAGACTAAGTCAGTATCATATGGAGTTTATCCATTTCGAATACTAATTGAACAGGATATGCTCCTAATATTCTGGACCACAGTCCTTTTGTCTAATATAAGCGAAGATTTTGAGCTTGCATCAAAACTCGATTTAGAATAACAACCCCTGCAGTATTCACTATTATTCGAAAGCATTTTTGTATGCTACCTAAAAGGTTACCATGAGAAAATTTCACCCACAACTTATTTTTTGGTATATCGATAAAATTTCTCGGTCTTCAGCAGTCTGTCGAACTATATTTCACACATAAAACTAGCATGCTTCTTAATTCTCCTCTTTTATATGCTTTAATTGTTTTAATGTTGTGGGTCGACACAAAAAATATACTATAAAAAAAAAAATTGTGTGAAGGGTTCACACGAACGTGCTAACCCCCAATTAAATTTACTTTGTTGTTGTTCGTTCCTTAATAAATTGAATTTTTGTGTCAAGAAATTGAAGGCATTTTTTTGGAACCTTATTATTAAAGCGCAATGCCATATGAGCAATTTACATATACTCATAGAGTTCTACTTTAATTTCGACAGAAAAAACCGGAAATGGGTTAATAATAAAGTTATTTGAGTGTTAAAAGAATCGACATGCACAGCATATTTATGATTTTTTTTTGGAGACATGGTGCATACTCAAAAATAGAATGAAAATATATTATATTTATATGGAGACAAACAAACGTGCACCAAAAAACATAATATTATGTTCCAAAATAATAGACAAAAGTTTCCAAAAAAGGCAGCCCGAGGCAGTTAACGAAAAATTTCAGACATTTAATAATATAATGAGTTAATGCATATTAGAGCATAGAAATGGAAACGACGATTCGTATTGATTTATTTTTAAAATAAAATGCTGAAGAAGAAAACAATCTCCCGGCAACTAACTGGGTATTATGTGCTGCCGTTTGTCGTCGTTGATGACGATGATAAACTTTTGTTGCCAGTGTTGATTTGTAGATTCTTAAATGGATTCTGATTGTGTATTAACTAGATAATTCAGCGAACTGACGTCAACAGGCCTGAACTGTGTGTGGATACAGACATTGCTTGTTATTAATGTCGGTTAAAGAACATACAAATCCTATCTGGTCCAGTCTAACACAATATTTTTTTGTCTTATTGTCAATAATGGTTTTTGAGTATACCGTCAAGAAACTAGCTCCTGGACTTGAATATTAAAAGTACGAGAGGAAGTCCTCTATTGTCGACTGTTTAAGGAATAGATCAGAAATTTGGAACAATTACGATTCTGTCCAGAAACAAACCCATTCCTCAAACAACAACACTGTACGTTCCCATCAGATGCCACCCAATCGACACACCATACCCAATTGCTGTGTTTGATTATCAAACATTTTTTATCGTCAACTTTTAACATGACATTAAAAAATATTTTTGAACATATCTACTCAAATATGATGTAGTAGAGTATCATGTTCCCGCATTTTAAATAAATCGTATCTGTTTGTGTGTATTCAAGCTGATTTCTTTGATTGACAAAATACCAACGTATGGGTAACAATGTAACATATATAGAATAAAAACTAAAATATACACAAATGACATTCAACTCTTATATTTTTTTGAATGATTTGGAACGACTATATTCTCTATTTTTATGCTTTATTCCACCTTTCTTTCATTTGCGGCAATACAAATCATGCTGATTTGTAAAGTGAAGATTGAAGAGAGAAATTATAAAACAACTTTATAATGCTGTCAATTCGAGAATGCTCAGTCATTTTTACTATACACTAAACACTCCTTTTCTTACTGACTTGACTGTCTGTTGCTTTCTTTCTGTTCACAATAGGCTCTCTTTTTTCTACCAAGCTCGTATTAAATAAAACAAAAGCATTAAATGAGAAACATTTAAAAACATAAATTCAAAAGAAAGAAGAAATTTCGAACAAAAACTTGACCCAAAACGAGAAGGAAGAGTCTCGTGAATGGAGGGCAAATAAACATTTAATGCTGGCTGGCTCATATGTATAATTCTTAATATTCAATTTCAAGCGCCAGCAGTACAAACCCTAACATAATATTTCACATACTTTCATTTTTAAAATTATTTAATAAATATTAATCGCAACTTTTTTTTATTGAGCTACAAGAAAAGAAATGGAAAAATTTCACTTACCAATTATGATTTTATGTTGAGTATTATAGCAAGACTTTTTATCTTGAACTATAGTAGTAAATCCATAATTGAATATTAATAATAGTTGATACGATGTTTATATTTATTTTTTTTTTGTTTATTTATTCCTCAAATTGCACAACTTCTTCTTGTTCACTTGACGTTAAAACGTACCGAAAAAATCCAATACACCCAAAAAATAATATTGATTTTTCAGATCTTGTAGGATACACGGGAATTTTTCACTCTTTTTCCAACTTTTCCTTACGATTTTCACAGAAATCTTGAGTATTTATTCCCAACGACACAAACACAGATACTGCAAACAGCAGAAAATGATGAGATTTATAAAATTAATTATAGTTTTAGAGTTTTTTTCATTTTTCTTTATAAATTTTTTATTTATATTCTTGTTGCTAAAGTTGAGAAAATTTCTCGTATTTCTCAATTATTTTCACACTTTTTATCTATCTAATGATTTTTTATTCACACACACGGGATTCTTAAAGGTTCGCAACCAATTTTAAGAGATTTAAACAATAATTTTTATAATATTATTAATAAAAATCGTGGAAAATACAGTATATCCGTACTCATCGAATGCCTTTATAACATTAAAATGCTTCATATGAAAATTCGGCTGATGTTTGCTTGTGCAACGTTTTGGAGACTTTTTAATGTTGAATGGTGTTTATTTAATGTTTTCTTACGATATTTTCAATAATAATTCTCCAATAATTTGAACCTTATATTATTCAGTAATTTTATCTTATAAACCTTAAAATTATTCTGCTTAGCTGGTAGCTATCTATTAGTAGGGGAAAGAACTCGTATGAAAATGCGTGAAAATACATGTTAATGCAGGTATTTGCAGGTTTTTACATGTAAATGCGGGAAAATTGGGGTAAATGCGGGAAAAAACATGTAAATACAGGTATGCACAGAAAATAAATTACCACAAATATATTGGGATTAAAATAATAATTTAAAGGTACATTTTAAGGAATAATGAAAAAAAAAGACATAATTATTATTTATTTAAATATTATTGTCAAAAGAACGTATGAAAGTAGCTATGTCTTCCTGAGTAAAGTCTAGATTAGCATTAACATGACATTTATAAAGCTTTAATTCAAAATACTTAAATATGTCCATCAAAACCTTTTGTCCATTAACAACAAAGTATGATGGACTTAACAGCAAACCAATTTTTTCACAATGCTCTATCTCTACAAAGTCCTGATAAAATGTTGATTTACTCATCGATTGGATATACAGGCGCTTGAAGTTTAAAAATAGTATTTCCTTCATCAAATAGAAGAACATTATCACCTTTTGAAACTTTTGTGGCTATCCAAAAATCATCAACTTGATTTACTGATGTATTAATATGAATTATCCTACGAGGTACGAAAAGTTGTCTAACATCTGTATTGACATGAATTTTGTTGTTTTCTAGCATCCATATCAGCTGATCTTTCTTAACTATTTGTGTAGTTTCACCCTCTTTGATTGCTAAGTAGCCATTGTTTGATCTAGCGCCAAGAAACTCAACATTTTGAAAAATGAGACTCTCATCGATTGGCTCAGTATCTTCATCATCCCATGTTGTTGAAACAAAGTAAGTTTCAAATTGATCTCTCTCACATCCAGCTCTTTATTCATGTATTTTTTAAGACCGCTCAATTCAGGTAAAACCATATTAGCTTGGAAAAAGTTGAACAATGATTTTCCACCTCGTAAAAAAATGAAGGATGACAGATTCTTGATGATATCACTAAAGCTATTGCCTTTATAATGCAGCTCATTATGTTGGACATTTTCTAAGCAAAGTTTTAGAAAATTTGGGACTTGTGGATTGTCATTTTCCATGTTTATTGTAATTATTATATAGAAAAAAAGAAATTTAATATGGTTGTCTTATATTAAGTTTGTCTTCGAGAACGTCTTGAGGTACGAGTTTGTAAACGACGTACATGTATCTGTGGATCATTCGGGGTCAGAACTGATTGGGAATGGTTGAAATCTAATTGAATAAGGAGCGAGTTTCGACTTAAAGCATCAAGGGTTGAACTATTGTCAGGAACCGAAGTAGAAATAGGAGGAGGTGCTGAGAGGCGTGAAGGATTTCTGATTTGCAAATGTCTCCGTTTCAAATGATCAACGAAATTACGCTTACACAATGTATTGTTACGACTAGGATAAATAATTGAATATGATAAATGACATAACGGACAGGTAGCAAGAAAATTCTCTGTATCTGCTGCAACCTTTGCACCGTTAAGGATATTTGGAAATAATTTTTCAAATTCTACCGTTAAAAGTCCAGTCCATTTTGCGATACGACGTTGAATCCCATTGCTAACATTTTGCATATTACTAGTAGACGCTGTATTTCGTCCCGCAGATGCACGATAGTGATGAGCGATTGACTTAATTTTTCCAACGACTATAAATGGTATCTCAAAATTTTGAACTGTACAAAAGCAAAAGCAATGTACAATGTAAAAATTAGCTGATTGTCAATGCCTGGTCCACCTGTGGATATTTGTATTATCTGAAATAATTCAAACTTGTTACAGAAATTGAAATGACTTAAAAAACTTTTTAAATACCTTCTTAGACAAGTTATCCACTAACTTAGGGATGTTTTCGTCTGTAAGTTCTGAAAAATCTTCAGGTTGTGTCACACCAATTGCCTTTAGTGACATTAGAATAACATTCGGTAGTTTCTTCTGTGTCTCTTGCTCGATTGAATTTAAAAATTCCTAAAATTATAAATAAAGCACTAAAAATAAGCTCTTTTATTGAAATGAATTTAATTATTACCATGATCGCGTTGAATTCGTTCAATAAAAACTTATATGCATTAAGTTATCACACTTATTTTCTTTTTTAAAACATTTTACTATTTAAATTTATAGAAAATTCAAGTCAAAATTGACGTAAACAATGTTAAGGTGTCTTTACGTCATGAAACAGCTTTTAAAATTAATAAAATCGTTGCAAATTACTTTTTTAAAAATAAATGAATATAAACCATCGCTTAATTGATTATAGTGGTAAAATACATGTAAATGCAGGTTTTTGCATGTTAATGTGGGAAAATGAGGGAAAATGCATGTAAATACAGGTGAATGTGAGAAGATTTTACAGTTCTTTCCCCTTGATCTATTCTTTAAAGTTTAGAATCTCATCATGATCTTTAATTTCTCATAATTATTTAATTTAATTTTCCATAAGCTCCTGTAAGTTATCATTCATAATAGGGTTTTCAATCCCGGGATTGAAACGTATCTAATCCCGGGATCAAACACGGGTTTCAGTACATTTCAATCCCGAGATTGAAAACCTTAATTCATATTGAATAAATTCCATTTTCTAACCAATATACAGCCTTCATTTCTAGTCAAATTTCTATATTGCCCTGGGTACCTTTTTTATTCACCTACTTAATCATTTTTTGATTAACCGAAACTCTAACATGATAAATTGATAATTACCGACAGACAGTAAGTGTGCTTATCATTATCTGTTTTTAACTTTGCTGAAAAAAGTTTTCGTTATTGTTTAACTCACCTATAGTTTAATTTCATGGTAAATTTGATGTTTATTGCTCGAGTTCTATAGATCAAATGAATTATTTTCCAAAATTTTTGTCCTTTTATACCATATTTTGGCGCCAAAATTTGTCAAATTCAAAATTTGAACTTTAGTTTTAAATTTTGATCATCCGTTAAATTTTAAATTCCGAATTTCACTTAACTTTTTAAAAATAATTATGATTAAACTCACTCCAAGCTTTAGTAGCTTCATCTAGTTTTAAATATGAAATATATGAACGGGATTCTTACATTCAAACCTTAAATGTCGACAAACTTTCGATAAATATCTTCGACTTTTATTAAATTCATTTTTCTGACTTAAAAACCACCTGTCATTGATTATAGCTACTTTAATAAGTTTTTAATTACATTGTTCCATCTATATTCACTAAATTTGAAATCAAAATATTGATCTAAATTGAATTTTTGTACACAATTTAATCGTAAACAAAACCAATACAAACGCAAATTTTGACTTGCCCAATAAGAAATAAAAGTATTGCAAACATATTTCAAAATTTTCACACCAATCATCTCTTTTATAGATATTAGCTAAGCATTTGCAAGACTTAAAACGTTAATTAATTCTGTGCACATGTAATAGTCAAGATTAAAAGCAGTGCAAGTGAAAAGTGAAAAATATTTTAAACTGGGCAAATTTGGAGAAAAGTTGAAAAAAATCACAAGAAATAACTAGGATTATGTATTTTAATGAATTCCGCTGATTAGAATAGCTTTTTGCATAAACTGTCATCATGTACGGATCCAAATCACAAGCTGTTCGAGTGAAAGTCAAGGTAAAATGTTCCAAAATGTGTAGAAAATTGAAAAATGAAAATTTTCTTTTAGTTCATAAAATATTTGTGGATTTCCAGCATAAATCATGTTAATGTTCTATTCTTTCTTCTTTCAGAAAAATGAAAAAGGCCAGACAGAGCAGTTCCGAAAGTTTAGTGTAGATCCAAACATAACAAATTTGGAAGTTCTTTATTCAATTCTAGCAAAAGCTTTTGAGATAAATAATGACTTTGGCATATCCTACACAACAATTAATCCTAATACAAAGAGTGAGGAACAGTTGATCATCTTTTCTGATTGGGATTTGGATGCAGCGTTTTTAAGGTAAATATTTATTACTTTTGTCCCAAATTCCTTTGTCTTAAAAAACATCTTTTTGTGTCTGTATGAATGTAGAGCACATAACTCATCTATTGCCAACAATACAGAACCTACATTAAATCTACAAATTGATGTCAAATGCTTTAGTGTACAGCAAGAGTGGGATGGTTCAAATTCTGCAGCATCAATTATTGCTACCAACATCCAGCAGTCAATTGGAGCTAGTCAAAAATATGTTCAGAATAAACTTCCAGGACTAATTATAAATCATATGGAAAAGACATTCACAAGTCTCGTATCTCGTGCATTTAATTTCGTTGACGATCCCTCAATAGTTAATCAGATTCAGCGACCTCCTTTATCAGACAATGAGTTCCGATATTATTGCGATTCTGTTGGTCAAATTATTCACCAAACGGAATTGAGAAAAGTAATTTATTCAGGTGGAATTGAACCTAGTTTAAGACGTGTTGTGTGGAAGCACATTCTCAACGTATATCCAGGAAGTTTAACAGGAAAAGAACGTATGGATTATATGAAAAGAAAGTCGGCAGAATATTACAATATGCGTGAAGTATGGAGAACGGCAGTTATGGAGCAAGGAAACTCAATAAGTGGTGAATTAGCTTATGTTACTAGTATGGTACGAAAAGATGTTCTCAGAACAGATCGACATCATCCGTTTTATGCTGGAAATGATGATAACCAAAATATTGGTGCTTTATTTAATGTATTGACTACATATGCTTTAAATCATCCTTCTGTATCCTACTGTCAAGGTAATTTGATACATTTACGCAATAATAAATGATGCATGCACAGTTATTGATTAATATTGGGTTTAAGTGATTTTAATTCTGTTCTGATTAATCTTTAACCCAATAGGATTAAATTTTTAATCCGATCGGATTAAATTTAATTCAAAATCATCAGTCAACCTGTGCATGTCATCCCCAATTGTTTAATAAATATTAAAATTACTTTTAGGAATGTCTGATCTCTGCAGCCCAATTCTAGTAACAATGTGTGATGAAGGACAAGCATACATATGTTTTTGTGCTTTAATGAAGCGATTAAAGTGTAATTTTATGATCGATGGAATTTCGATGACAAAGAAATTTAGTCATTTGAGTGATGCTTTACAATATTACGATTATGAATTTTTTAACTATTTAAAAAAGCACCAAGCTGACGATTTATTATTCTGCTATCGATGGTTATTGCTTGAAATGAAACGTGAGTTTGCTTTTGATGATTCGTTGAGGATGTTGGAGGTTTTATGGTCGTCACTTCCTGCAAATCAGCCCGAAAAGGAATTGCAATTATTTGAGAAGGAATTTACAGCGACACAAGAAGTTCCGAACGTAAATAGTCCACCAATGTTAATCAATGAAAGTCCTTACACAAAAGTTTGTGCTTTAAGACGGCAAAATTCAGCTATGTCAATATCCAATGCGAAGCTTAATGTCACTAAACGAATGAATCAAAGCTTAGATGAGACGAAAAGTGAGTGTGACAAGAAGAACATTAAAGCACATCAAAGTTTAGATGAAAGTAAGCTACAGCAGATGCGACAAGAACAGGAAACTCTTGAAACAACAGAATCTACTGAGATCAATATAGGAGGAACTGAAGAAAAGACTGAATCACCGATTGATGACATTTCAGAGAAATCTGAGAAGAATCCTTTTCTCTATTCTGACAGCACGGATGCAGAATTACCGCCTGGATCTGAGAATTCGTCTCCTGTAAAGACAATCATTAGAGGTAAGTTACTGGCTTAACGGATTTTAAATTTTCAAATATTTAACGGTTTTCAAAAATTTAAATTTTATGAACGATTCAAATATTTAATGACCGTTAAACTTCAAATATATTTCAACCGTTATTTTATTCATTCTTATTCAACAGGTAATTCAATAACAGAGACACTAAAAGAGCTCAGAGAGAAGCTTGTTGCAAGTAAAATTGGAATAATAAGCACAATAGAAAAACTTGAAGAGGATCTCGATCCAAAAGACGTATCCGCACAAGACGTAAAGCTTGTGAAGAACTTTAGTGAATTTCTTAGTTTTGCCAAAAGAAGTAACAGCGAAGAAAAGCCATCAGATAATAAATCGGATCAGCAGTTAACAGTAGATAGATCTAATGAAATTAAATTAAGTCCTGACGATTTTCAAGATTATTATCCAATAACGACGTCAGCTACGCGAGGATTGAAATTAGAATTAGAAAATCTAAATCGACAGGTCTTTGGACAGGGTTTTCAAAGCTTTAGTAAAGACTCACCGATTAGTCCGGAAGATGAAATTAAAGAATTTGTGAATGAGACACAGTCAGTTCCTGAGAAAAATCCACATATTAAGGTAGACATTGATGCGATTGAAGTGTGCGATACTGGACAAGAACCTGTGAATGTTAAAATGCGTAGGCAACATCGTGATAATGATGAAATTGCATTTAATCGTTTTAGTGTTGCAAGTAGCACAAATAATGATGTTTTTATATGGCAAAACCCTTTACATGCTTCATCCGATTACCTATCGTCATCAAATTTACCAATTTCACCAACTTTAGTGACACCAGACGAGCAGACAGACATCGAGTATGATGGTGAGATTATTGAAATGGATTGTGGTAAAAAGTCAGTGACTCCAATTAGATTAGTAAGGAAGAATTGTGATGGACAAAGGTCGAAAAGAAGTTCCACAATTATACAAGACAGTGACTCAGAAGATAGCGATGAGAATTGGAATTATAAATTAAATTCAACAAATCCATTTTTTGAGCAGATTCAGCAACTTAATGCATCAAAAACTCAATCATCAGCTAATGATATGGTCAATTCATGTGAGGAAGCATCAGAAATTGTCCAATCAGTCAATGATTCAAAATCTGATGCAACTTTAACGCCAAATGATTCACAAACGATAATTGCAGCAGCAACAAACACAAATACCAATAATACAAGATGCATGGAATTGCCAAGTCCAACGGAATTTGGTGGCGGTAATCCATTCTTAATGTTCTTATGCCTAACAATATTATTACAACATCGAGACTTTATCATGCAAAATAGTTTAGACTATAATGAAATGGCAATGCATTTCGATAAAATGGTACGTAAGCATAATGTCAATAAAGTATTAATTCAGGCACGTCGCTTATATCAGGACTATTTGCGTCAACACAATGAGAAAATAAGAAATTCCAATAACACTAGCAAATGAGCATGCACGCACGTGTACTTATGGTAGACATACAAGAAAAAATATTGTTGTGTTAGATAAGGAAGACTTTCAAACTTTATATTATTGCTATCTTCTGCAGAATTATTGATTGATATTCAGAATTAATTTCGTGCATTTCCAATTGTTTTTAACAAAGTATTTTACGTAAATTGTAAGAAATTCGTACTTTCTGTTCATACACCATGTGATAAATTATTTTAATCAATTAAACAAAAACATTCTATTTATGATGATATATGCTGATTACTGAAAATTCCTGAATTTCACGCCGTTTTAACAGACTTTGAATATTTGAATTTGTATTGTTTATAACGGCTTTGAAAAATTTGAATTTAAACGGCTTAAAAAACATTTAAACTTCAAAACCATACAAACTACTTACAATTTTTCGGAACCATACAATTTTTTTTAAATTCAAAAATCCGTTAAAAAACAATACAAATTAAGAAGTTTAAGGCAACACACTGAAAATACCTGCAACAATATTAATCGAATTAATGGAATTTTTTGAGCGAATAGATTTTCATGAAATAATCGGCTTTTTCATTAATTATTATGGATGACTATATCAAAATAATATGATTAATCTCTAAAAAATTAGTAATAAAGCAATATAAAAATGAATTATTTCTTTCTTCTTACCTTTGGTTTTGGTTGTTATCATGGCTTTGTTGCTTTCGTTACAGATTATAAGAGCAACACAAATTCTTTGAAGACCTTATAATTCCTTTCAAAACTCAAAGATCCGTTAGAAATTCAAAAACCGAGAAACCGATAAAATCTTCAAAATTAAAAAAATCTGTTTAACTTCGTTTTGGTAAACCTTTATTTATATTTCATTCGATTATTATAATCAATTTTCTACATGTTGTTATACATAAGGAAACATTTTGGAATATATCTTTTATTTTATTTTATTTAAATCATCCCTCAGACAACAATCAAGTTTCATGTCCATTTGGGTTTAATTATCCAGTTTTTATATACACATAAGAAAAATAGATTTCAACAAAAAATATATAATTAATTTGTTCATTGTCATGATACTTAAACATTTCAAATGCAGCTTACTTAATAATTCATACATAAATCATATTTATATTGGCTTTAAACAGTTTCTCTGTGTTTCAATGTGTCTGCAGATTCGTAAATGATATAGAAAAGGAAAAGTAGAAAGAAAATCAGAAATGAAATATAAATTTGTCTATGCTAATTAGCTACATTACTCAATATCGGCATGAGCTTAACACATCTACATTTTTAATTTTGATTGATATAAATTTGGAGAGATTTAAATTAATCCAGTGGATTTAATGTTAAATCTTAAGATTTAAAGTTAAACCCTTCGAATTAAGATTTAATCTTCTGAATTAATTTTTGCCTTATAAGACTTATTTTGAAGTCTCATTCTTAAGTGAGGTCTTTCAAAAAATGAGAATTTGAGGCCACCAGAGGAGTATTTTACAAATTTAATATGATGTTGTCAAACAACTTTACCCTATTCCTCTTCCTTAAAGTTTGACATCATTAATGAACGAACCCCTCAATCTTAATCCACAGATTAATTTAAATCTCTCCATAATGTTTGTAAATCGTATCCTGAACGTGACAAATAGTTTTTATACAATTGAAATGGAAAACCCAATCAGAACTGTTCCTCAAAACATCCAGAACAGCAACTGACACAATAAATTCGTTCAGGAATCATCAGTTATGCAGCATATCAATATCTCACTCAAAATTAATTTTATTTCGTGCGTCTTTTCTTGGGAATCATTCATCTATAATCGTATCGAAGAATAATTCATTTTTAGACCCCCCCCCCCCTCCTTCTTTTTCCGAGTCAAACAAATTGTAAGAAGCTTGAACTGTCAAACTAAACGGTACGGGCTTCTTACTTAAGAAGTATGGGAGGGGTCTTGAGCTGTATTAAACTTCAATACACACTTTTGCATGAAATATTTCATGATTAAGACGTCATGGATGAACGAGACCCGCCAAATATGGATTAATTCTTATCATTTCAAGTATGAATATAAATTTGTTGAGAATAGCGACATAAAAATGGAATACTGAATCATCACACATTGCATAATAACAACAAAATATCAAGTATCGTTATAATTATTATTATTTCATTTTTAAGGTAATTCTTCATAACTATTTAACAGGGATAAAGACTTTTTGGTATGGTCGTGGAAATTTCAAGGAGTCAAGAGTTTCAAAGAGTTTTTTAGATAATAATGAACAAGCTCATTATTGGGGATTATATTGGTAATAAGTGGAAATAATAATTAAGAAAATAAATGTCATCCGCTTTAGAATTAGCAGGAACAATTGTCCTTATTTGTTTGAGTATCATCAGTTAAAGATGTTCTGCCTTGTCGCTGTGGCTGCTTCTGTTGTACACCACTTTCCGCACTATTCAGATCTAGTCTGCCATCTTGGACACTTTGATAAATTTTACGGGCTGTTTCCAAAAATGCCTCTTCAACATTCTGTCCCGTCATTGCACTCGTTTCAGCAAACATTAAGCCATTCTCGTCGGCAAATTTCTTTGCTTCCTCGTACGTTACTTCACGTGTTGACTCTAAATCGGACTTGTTACCAATCAAAAATATCACAGTCGATGGATTTGTTAGATTTTTTGTATCGGTTAGCCAAGAGCTCAAGTGATTATATGTAGAACGTCTCGTTATATCATAAACCTACAAAGAACAGTAGAATGTTACTGCATCTTTAAGAATAAGCATCAAATTATATACCATAAGACAACCAGCAGCTCCACGATAATAAGAACGTGTTACAGCACGAAATCTCTCTTGACCAGCAGCTTATTATATGAAATAGAAAGTACGTGACTAAGTCTCAATTAATTAAATAAATCATATTTCGCTTACTGTCCCAAATCTGTAATTTGATCTTTTGCTTATCGACCTCAATTATTCTCGTTCCAAACTCCACGCCAATTGTATGCTATTTAATAATTAATAAGTAAATCTTGCATCAGATACAGAACCTTGACAATGGTATTGTGTGATATTACCGGACATGATGCCATAAACTTCTTTTCAGTAAATTGATGTAATAGACAGCTCTTTCCAACCCCCATGTCGCCAATTATGATATACCTTAAACGATAAAGTACGCCTTTAAATGACATAATTGCATTCTAGATTTTATTGATTAAATTGTGCACATAACTCTCTGCTGCATGAGAACTTATATTCGACTGGAAAAGTGGTTTAATATAATTTGATATGCGAGTTAATTAAGCTTAAAGTTTGTCACAGACCTCAACAGATTGAATTTAAAAATAACGGTCGAAAAACATTCAAAAAACAGTCAAAATTTTGAACTTTTTCATAGAGTTTAAATTTCAAAAAAACCGTTTGAACCTTCAAAGGGTACACAACTAGGATAACTCAAGTGTCAACTGGATCATTGATCTTTCGAAAATGATTCAGAATCGGAAAAAATGTTCAAAAATTCAAAAATAACATATTAATTAAACTTCATCTTTTAAATGCCAGATTAAAGATCTTAACTTAAGGCATATCCTATGAAAATATCTCGTCCCAATTTGATGTCTAACTCCAGAAATCATTAATTTAATCTCACCCAAAATTTGTTTACAATTTGTGTATGAAAAAAAAATATGATTTTTTCTACTTTAAGTTGTTATTTGGATGTCTTGAAAGCAGTTGCTAGCTAATTTAAGCTTAGCTTTACATATTAAAACAACAAACTCAATAGAAATCTGCTTATTAAGCCTTAAAAATGAATTGAAATCTGAGTATTTTTACAAAACTTAAACTATTCATAAGTTAAAAAGTCTTCCAAAGACCTCTCTGAAACCTATACAAATCAATTAATTAAGCTTAAATCTATCTCCCATACAACTGGGGACATGCCGTTTGATGCCGTCTTCGAGATATTTGCGTTCAAAGTTTACATCAATTTTCATACAAAATTTGATCATGCACAATATTTTTTGATAAACTTTTACAAAGTTTTGGTAAAAAATCATGTTTATCCTTTATATTAAGGACTGATTTTTTGAGCAATGAACGAAAACATTATCTAGAAGATGCTAAAAGATTCAAATCAAGAGAAATTAACAAAAACTTTCAATTTTCTAATGTGTCGGAAAAGTATTGTGCACAAGGAATTTTTGAACATTTTTTCCGAATCTGAATCATTGTGCTTTCATAGAATTTCCATTTAAAATATGATAAATATCATAATGACGGTTGAAAGAAATTTAAAATAAATCAGTCACAAATTTTTGAAATTTTGAAAGTCGTTAAAATCTGAATTTCAAAAAGCCGTCAATGGATCTTGAATCATTCGTACTTCCAGTGAACTAAATTTCGTCAGCATGAATCATAGAAACTCGCTTAATTAACTGCACAGAGTTCAATCACAAACTAGATTAATTTAATACTTACTTAAATATATAGGAATATGAATATGGTGCTGACATTATGGAAACTAAAAAGAGAAAGAGGCTTGTTATCTATTTAATTCCCGAACTTAATAGACCAAAAAATTCGAGATGAAATGTTTATTTAGCACTATCAGCTGTTTATTGGATATCCAAACTCACTCTTATCGATCGTATCATCGATTTTAGACTTAATTAGACGCGATATTCTCGAGAAATTCTCATTCATGGTCAGACTTTATAAACTTTAGTCATGCACTAAGGAAAATTTTCACTTTAATGCTCGATAAATATGTGGAATTACTTAAAACCTTGTTCATGGTTCAGCAAACAATTACTTAATGCTTTTTGTGATAATTTTTATATAGACACAATAAGGAGCCATTAAGCTATTCAGAACATTTACTGATAACTCTTTGGTATAAATAACAATGAAAGTTTCCAGTTCTACATAAACACAGAACTTAAATTAAAATGAAAAATTGATGATTCACTATTTTTGCTGATTTTTCGTGCTTTTCAGGCACTTTCTTGGTCACTAAACAGTTAATTATAGTCACTTACATTCCTTAATGTCCTGTATAGCTATTAAAATTTATCTAAACCTTCTTGTTCCTTTGTATCACACAGAATTAACAATTTCGTCGAGAAAAACAGCAGAGAAACTTTTTTTCAGCAACTGGGGGACGGCAAGTGATATGAAAAATATTTTATGGATGTGGACAAATTGTAACGCATTAGATTATCCATCTAGATCAAATTTTTATTTGTTCAGGACACAAAATAGATGACCGTTCAAAACACCTAAAGTTTTTTACCTCTAAACATTTCAAATTTATAAAACCTTAATTTTCTGCATCTAGAGTTTTTAATCTCTAGATACATTTGTATATAGGTGTTAAAAACTGCACGTGTAGTTTATAACTTCTATATACATTTATATATAAAGATTATAAACTGCATATGCAGTTTTTAATTTCTAATGATGGTTCTTTCTACATGCTTTAAATTACAAAATATTTGACTTCTTGTAAGCGTTGTTTTATTGGCTTTAAGATTATTTTCGAACCGTAAAACATTGGATAAATACTATAATTAATGATTTTTATATTTCATATGAAAAACACGTGAATTTTTGTGGGAATTGTGTTATTACGTTCGCATTTGAAAAATTGTAGCCAAATGTAACATGGAGGGGGGGGGGGGGGGGGTCAAGAAGGATATAATGTTCTAACTGTCGTCTGTCTTTTAAAAAAAAGTTCACGAAAAAAATTTGTTTACAAATTCACACCAAAAACATTTTTTTAAATTTTCCAACTTTTTAATGATTTATGAATGTCCAGATCAATTTTGATAGATAAGCAATACATAGTTTTTGTTATATAAAGTAACAAATCAATAGAAAACTGGTTTACAAGACTTTAAAATACAATCATAATTTGTGGAAATTTTTAAAATTAAATCAATCATAAGTTTAATCTGTATAATCTGTCATTCATATGATGATTAATATTTACATTCAAAGTTGATTGAATTTTCCAAAATTCGATCGGGCATAATATTTTTGAATTTTCTTCAAAAAAAAATACAAATTTTTGCTTTATATCTCAATCCAATAATTCATGAGAATACTATTAGTATCAATCTAAACATGACCTATTTATTTGTACAGTATTTTGATGTTTAAGAAAAAAAAATACAAAAGAAATTTAACCGTCTTTTTAGAATAAAAGGGGGAAAGGGGGGGGGGGGGTGAAAAAAGTCGTTTTTTTGCGTAAAGTAATAAGTGAACGGCTCCTATAATGTCCGTTAGAAAATTTTAATTTCAAAAAACATTTAAAATGATAAACCCTTTCACTTACAGACTTCTGGTTTTTTGCATTCCATTAATAGCCAAAAAGAAGATAAATTTGATGAGTTTATGATTAATCAAACTCATTTTTTTAAAATTATTTTTTTAGTCGGTTCGACAAATGTGTGTCTCCAGCACGATAAATCCACAAATGGTGTGAGAATTTATTTAAGTGACAAGTATCCACATCTTACTTTGAGCAACATTATTGCTGTGTATGAACATGATGGAATGTCTGAAAATCGTTTCGAGAAAATGCCAATATTGATTCAACGCGCACTTGGAGGTTCTGGAAATGCCCTTATAGACAATGGATTTTTGTGTACAGAACCAGGACTAAGAGTTTTGTATGTGCAAAAGGCAAAAGACAACGCAATCCCTCATTATCCTGCTTATAATGAATTGACGATCAATCTTTGTGTCAGTAACTTGACAAACTTAATTGTACTATTTTATATTTTGGAGTCTTGTAGTTACATTAGCACGTTTTGCCCGAAATGTGACGTAGTTTTGTTGGGTACACATCCAATAGCCGAGTGTAGAGCTAATCGAGGAAAGAAAAATGTCCTTAACATCAATAATTTCGATAAATTTGATGAAGAAATGAAAGGTGTGATTATTTCATTCTTAAGTAAAAATTACAATTGTAATGAACCGATAGAATTAGCAGACTCGTTAAGAACATTTATTGAAGAATTGAACCAAGATTATCGCGAGATTTTTCAATCTTCAATTCTAACCATCAAAAATGACGCAAAAATATTTAAATTTGGTGGAAAGATTTCGTGGTATTTAGAACTAATCAACAAAAACATTCTAATCACAAGAGAACAGCTTTTAAAAGACTTGCTGCTCGAAGATGGAACTCACGCTTGTGATGGTAAATGCATCTATGAGAAAAGAATCGTTGCTGCCAATGAAAAATGTTTTTTTGGCATATTCGCCAACATAAACACGCCGTTCATCTCAAACCGCTGGAACTTATTCCACTGTTTCATGCTAAAACGAAATTAAAGAGAATGAGTAAGTTAATTTTTTAATAAGGTATTAATTTGAAATTTTCTAATTATTTACAATTTTAGTAGACGAGTCAATGAATGCAGCAAGTAAATCATCCAACAATTCATCAGTTGCTCGTTCAAATGGAAGCCACATTGTTCATCAAGAACAATTTAAATTATTAATTTTATTAATTTATAAACATAGATGTTTATCTTTTTCATGCTGTTGAACAGGCTAAATAAGTTCATAATTAGTAATTTCATGAAATTACCCTTATCAACTTCATCAACTATATCAATTTGTACATCTCATATTTGTCACTTTTGTAAAGAATCATTTAAATATTGGACAATATTGTATCCATCATTTTTGATAAGAAAGTAAATGAATTTAGTGCTATATCTTTATAATTTTTAACTTAAGGCTGTCTATAATAAATAAATGTATATTTTGTGTCCTGAACAAATAAAAATTTGATCTAGATGGATAATCTAATGCGTTACAATTTGTTCACATCCATAAAATATTTTTCATATCACTTGCTGTCCCCCAGTTGCTGAAAAAAAAGTTTCTCTGCTGCACGTTGATCGAAAAAGTGAAAATTTTGTCAAAATTTCAGATTATATGCTTATGTTGTAGACATTGGTCCCTGGTTTATGGAAATAAAATTATTTTTTCCCCTGGAAGTGCCTGGTCCACGAGAAAAGAAGGTTTGAATTTTTGTACTTCATGTAATTTTTAAAATGCTATTGTGCTTTACCTACTTATCCGTTTGTCTTCAAATATTTTATTTGATAGGTACAAGTTAGAGCTTTCTTATGAATATCCACATGCTATACTTTTGATGTATATTGGTTTCTAAAAGTTGAAAAAAGTTTGAAAAAACTAGGTTTTTTGTCAGTTTTTGGACCTCATGACTATATAAGGCTTTTTAAAATATTTTTTTGATTGTAGTATATTGTAGATCTCATTTATATCTACAATCATCACATGCATAAACTACAGATTTTATGTAGTTTAAGTAGTGTAAATTAACTTTGAAGTCAAAAATTTGCATATTTTTTGCTTTAATCTCAATTATGATCCACTGTCCACGTCCGGCTATGCTCTATCAATTAATGCAATAAGAAAAAAGAATCACTTGCCGGAAAGCTTCAAAATATAAGCCTGAAGTTGGCCTAGTGAGGTAATAAAAAATATTTGAAGACAAACGGATAAGTAGGTAAAGCACAATAGCATTTTAAAAATTACATGAAGTACAAAAATTCAAACCTTCTTTTCTCGTGGACCAGGCACTTCCAGGGGAAAAAATAATTTTATTTCCATAAACCAGGGACCAATGTCTACAACATAAGCATATAATCTGAAATTTTGACAAATTTTTCACTTTTTTGATCAACGTGCAGCAGAGAAACTTTTTTTTCAGCAACTGGGGGACGGCAAGTGATATGAAAAATATTTTATGGATGTGAACAAATTGTAACGCATTAGATTATCCATCTAGATCAAATTTTTATTTGTTCAGGACACAAAATATACATTTATTAATTATAGACAGCCTTAAGTTGAAAATTATAAAGATATAGCACTAAATTCATTTACTTTCTGCGATTTCCACCGCCAGCCAAGATTGTGACAATTCGAATGAAGATGTTAAGTGTGTCTAAATAGATCGAAATGCTATTGTTGATTGGATCGTAAGGTGTAAAGCCATAAGATGGATGATTTTCAGCTCGTTTGATGATTTTTTGTGTGTCATAGAGTAAAAATCCAGAGAAAAGCAATAATCCACCGTACAAGCTCATTGAGTATAATCCTGCACCTAAGGCTGTAGCTGGTGATAAGAACATTGATCCAATTGATGATGCGAAGACGACACCTAGTCCTATAGCTAATGGACCACCCATATTAAGGAACTTCTCACTTGGAGCACAAACAGCGACTGTAGACAAGCCTCCGACAATACCAGCTGTATACCAAGCTGCTCTGAGCATTATTGGACCTCCTGATAATTACCAATTAATAATCAAAACACGACTTACGTAGAAAGTCACTAGCTTCCGCGTTTGACTTATGTTAGATTACAGTTCTTATATATATCACAAAACGAAAATTAGTGTATCGAGTAGAAACCCAATTCGGATATATTCACACCGTACCATCAAAAGTCTTGTGGATAGACCAACATTAGCTCAATATTAATTTGAAAGTATAAATCTTGACGAACCAGCTGAGCACTCAGTTTATGTTTGGGGATATAAAGCTTGACGTCACAGCATAAGCGATAATGGACTCTTATCATAGAAAGTCTTCATCGATCAGCTGTGCTATCGCACAGCATAAGTTTGTAAACTAGAACGTTTACCATATGTTTGAAGGTATAAAGCTAACGAGTCAGCTGAGCTTCGCTCAGCATAAGTTTCAAGGTATAAAGCTAGCGAGTCAGCTGAGCTTCCCGTGAATAAAATTAGTGTTTTTGTAAGTAAAGGATACTAAAATTATATTGTCCTTGTATTATTTATTATTTTTTTGAAAATAATTTCAACACAATAAATAAGTCAAGATTAATGATGGAGATCAAACACTAGTTCATCCGTGTTACTGGATTAAAACCAGCTCACTATGGGGTAAAATTAGGGTTGGGCAGAATCGTATTCGAATGTATTCGAATTTAATGTGTGCACATAAATGGGCGATTCCACGGATGAATTTTTACAAAAAAACCGACTTTGAATCAAACTTTCTCTCAAACAAATGACTTTATAGCTCCAGCCTTAACACTTACTAATGTAAATCACCGAGATCTATCTCTATGTATAATTAACTTTTGTCGTCAAGCTTTAATTAATGAAATATTTGGATTTTTGTCAGCGTTGGCATATTACACAATGTTGAATTCTAAGTTTAAAAGCAAAAATATACGACTTTAAAGACATCTAGACAATTATTAATGGTTGTTATACTGTTCATTCTATCCTTTTTTATGATTCTGCATACTTAAATTGGCTTGAAAGGCACTCAATTGTCAGAAAAATGAATAAATTTAATGCATTTCATGTAATATACCAACGCTTTAGCTAAATCCGTGAGAAAATTATTTTTAAAAAGCAAAGTTTTACTTTCATTAACAATTACTTACTTGTATGACAAGTATTGTAGGATTGTACAATACTTACAATTCTTACAATACTTGTATGGAAAGTATTGTAAGTATTATAGTCATATTCACACAAAATTTTCAATTTTTTTTACAAGACAGTTTGAGAAACATTTGTCAAATGAATTTGATTATAATTGACGGTTTTTATGTAGTTTCTCGTGTTTCTTTACATTTTTTGAACCAAAATTTGATAAAAATACATAATTAGCAATTTTGAACTAAATATTTTTAAGTTTTAATTGAAATTTTATAGTTCTCCAAAAATATTCAGTCTAAAACATATACAAATATTGTAAAAATATTTGTATACAAAATTTTTGGCAATAAAGTCATTTTTTTAAATTGTCAATAGCAAAAAAGTATTCTGGCTCGAAACAAAGGCGATATAACGCCAGATGCAGCCAAAAATATCAAAAATTATTAATGAAAACAGATAAGATGAGAATATTAGACATTAGTCTCCTCATATTAGAGGAACTTTAACGTTTGCTTCAGTTTTATAGAGGTAACACCGAGGTTTAGTTTTTTTATAGCGCTTTAAGTCATATCATAACATTGCTATGCCTCGATTTAAGTTTGTTTCTTTAAAGTTAACTTTGCTTTTAGTATGGACATTTTTCATCAGAAATTTTCAGCAGAGTTTGAAAATAAAATGAAAATTGCTCTATTTTGAAAATAAATCAAAATGAAAATTATGAAAATTGCCAATTTTGATCAAAGCAATTTTGCAATTTTGTCAATTTCAGAAAATTGCAATTTTGGAAATTGTTTATTTATTAAGTTTTTATTAAAAACGAATATCAACATCCAGGAAATAAACTGTATCTTTTGTTTTTCTGAAGAAAAAATTCATTTAAAAAGAAGAAAATTTTCATACAAAATTATTCATCAAATATTTATGACGTCACAAAAATAAAAATTGATAATTTCCAAAATTGCAATTTGATTTATTTTCAAAATAGAGCAATTTTCATTTTATTTTCAAACTCTGATTTTCAGTGAATTTTTCTGAAATGATATATCTTTTTGTATTAACTAGGTATTCACGATTTCCCGGACCCAAAAAATTATCGGGAACTGGACAAAAATTTAAACTCAAATATCAAACATGCTCCTGGAAATTTGGAAGATAATTCTGTGTTCAAATGCTAAAACTTTTCAATTGAGATAATTTGACATTAAAATTTTTTATTCATCGAGTTTCTGTCCCAAAAATTTCGCGAACAGGAAATCGTGAAAGTCTAGTATGTATCAACTATAAAAACTAAAAAAATAAGAACAATTTTGACAAAGAAAGAAAAAAATATACAGTTTTATATTGTCTTAGAGATGCAGTTGTTGAAAATATGTATTTTCAAAAAAAAATGCTATAAAAACCATTTGATAAGTTTGTTAAATTTGATTCCTTCTTAATCGCCTTCTTGTCAGAGGTAAAAAAATTCAAATCGTCAAAGTAATGTTTGAATACACTTAAAACCTTATACTTTGATCAAAAAATTTGTATAAAACGAAATGCAGTTTGCTATTAAGAGTGATAAATCTTGTGAAAATGAAACCAATCTATTTAATTTTGATTCCTTATTGACATTTAATATTAGTTTACATAAGAAACTTCGTACCTGTACGGTTTTATGCGTGAGAATTGTATGAAATCAATTCTTGATTTGCATCAGTCTAGCTTTACAAAAGAATTTTGAACTTTTTACCATTTTTATAGCCATTACATAATCAGAAATACTCTCTTTTAATGGAAAACTGAAATTTGTGCTAGTTTTTCATAAAATACCCTGCTAATTTTCAATAATAATGTTAATTTATCAAACAAAATTGTTATTTATCAATATTTGTCAAAAAAAAAAGTATTAAATTTGGTTTTACAAATTGTTGAAAACTCAAAAAAAATTTTAATTTCTTTTAAAATTTGGTTCTTGAATAATTAAATTTCAGTATTGTAAATTTATATAAAAACTTATATGGCAAGTATTGTAAGTATTGTAGGTATTGTACCCTTGATATTTGCCCAACCCTAGGCAAAATTGAAAAAAAAAATTACAAAAGTCCTCGTGTTATTTATCGAAGGACTTCAGCGCATTTTTGACGCAGCGATCAGTATTTGATAAGCATCGAAATGCGAATCAATTTGCAAACAACTTTAAATTTTTGCGAGCTGTAGGTTGGGTGACAAATTTTAAACCATTTTTGATTTCGTAATGAATATAGGGAGGATTAAAATAAATCCATCGGATTAAAATTTGAAATCGTTATATCTACGTAGGTGTTGAGGGAAAGGGGGCATGTTTAGTATTGTTGGATAGGTCTTTTCGGGCCCTACATTACAAAAAATGTTTCATCTAATAATTCTCAAAAACTAGTGCACCAGAACAACTTTAATTTAAGCCTTCAAAAAAGCTGGTTTTTTGATCTACTGGATCAGAACTAGAACCAAATATTATGATTTTGGTGTCAATTGATTCCTAAGAAGATGTCAAACATTTAAACAATCAGCTATTTTTTGATTTAAGGCTTTAAAAAAAATTAGAGCAAATATAGTGTTTGTATGGAGATTTCGCGAAAATCTTCCATCAAGCACTACGGTCTCAAAAAAAAGTTCATACAAAGCGTCATTATTTTCGTCCTACTAGACTACAAGGGCTAAATTTTGACATATAAATCATTACTTTTAGATAATACGGTGGACCTGTAATTTGAACGACATAAAGAAACACCTTCCGTGTTCCACGCGGAAGCTAATATAGCTTTTAAAAAGTTATTTAAATCTTCAACTTACCAACAAAGCACAATGGAGCAACAACAGCACCCAAAATACCAGCATGAACAGCCCATGCGAGTTGCTTAGTTCCTAAACCAGGAGAATAAGGAATAGATTGTGCTACCATTCCAGATCCGATCATAACTGCAAAAGTTCCAATAATGCTTAACCATCCACCTCCAGAAACTAAACGTAAAATTGATGGACTACGAAAAACGGCAGCTGCTGAAGCTACAGAAATACCAATTGAAGCACCAAAGTATAAATATGTGTCCTGAATTCTTTGCTTAACATATTCTGGCCATAACATTGAATTTTCGAGAGCATTAGTTCCTTTTCCCATTCCAGCACCATAAAAGCATAAAGCACCAAGACCTAATAAACTGCCGCCTGCTAAAGCTCCTTTGCCAATGGCAAACGCTGTAATTAAGGTTTAAAAATAGAACATCAAGTAAACAAATGATTTAATTAAAGTGTTTTTCATGAAATTCATCAACAATTTCTAGATAATTGTAGAATCAACATACCGTTCGGTCCAGCAGGTGCCATTGCTCGTTCCTTCAATGACATTCGCTCATTAATTCGTTCACTTCTAGTTCTGAATTTTGCATCTTCAGCGAATTGACGAAAAATTGTCTGTCGATTCTTTGGAAGGTTCTGAATAGCACTTTTGACAAACACAGGATTTATCCTTGTTGTTGTGACTGCTAATCGTGATAACATCTTTAAATGAAAGTACTGAAAATTTCGCAAAAATTATGAAATCGTTTCGAGAATTTTCTACGGTTCGTTTTTAAAGGAGTTTTAAGGATTAATTCTGTATTTCTTCATACTGCTTACCTTATTATTTGTTCGTTTAAGTTGACTGTATAGTTTGTAGACTTGTTCACAGCGAATTTATAGTTAAATTAATTAAAAAGTTTTTTTGCAAATTTTCTATTTACTTCGAGGGGAAATCAACTGGATTTTAGGATCGATGGGGTATAAAACTACGCAAGTTAGGGTCGATTCCGTTATTTGAGAAAGTTCTTTTGTTTACTTCATGCTTCATGCTTTTTCCCAGAGTGAATTTAATTAATAATTAAAGATTGAACGAAGGAGCTGTTGATTAGACATAATACATTAGTAAACATTGTCAATAGCAGCATAACGCATGAAAAGAATTAACTTATATGTCCGTAGATACTCAAAATTATTAGATATCCTTAAAACCATGCCGAAAGATACATCAGAACATCAATTAAATGCTCAAAAGCATAGAATTAGAATTAAGGAACGATCAAAGTTCTATTCGCCAGGAACAGTCAATATTCAAGTGCTAGGTAGTGGAGCTAGAGGAACCAGCAGTGCTATATATTTGTTCTCCGAACAAGCAAGGTAATAAATTACAATTTTCATGAAATCAACTTTAATTAATCATGTCCATTTTAAGATACCTGTTCAATTGTGGAGAAGGAACACAACGATTAGCTCATGAACATCGCACGAAATTGACACGAATGGAACATATTTTTCTAACACGAAAGTCATGGCATCAAGTTGGTGGTGTTTGTGGATTGTGCTTGACATTGCAAGAAATCGGAGTTCCAAAAATCAATCTTCACGGACCATCTGGAATTGATGAGATATTCGATGCAACAAAAAAGTTTGTTGTGCTTAGAAATATGAAGGTTGAAACTCCAGAATGCAAAGACGGAGAATTTTGGGAAGATTCTGTTCTGCGTGTCAATTATGTTCCTTTACATAAAACAAAAAGTGCTGAGCCAGAAACACCAATTAAAGATGAAAGTAAGAATGACGAAACTGAAGATTGGACAGAGAAAGACCGACTGGAATATAACATTCAAGATGACAATACAGACTATTATGGCTATGAAGAGAAGAACAGATACAGAAACTTCAACAACAACAAAGAATCTAATGAGAATAACTCAAATTCATCCAAAAATCCACAACACTCGTACTCAAAAAGCACAGATGTTGATGTCATGTCCTACATTTGTAAGCTACAGCCTCGTCCAGGTACTTTAAATTTAGAAAAATGTGTTGAGCTAGGCGTTCGTCCAGGACCTTTATTAGGACGATTAAAGAATGGATTTGACGTGACTTTACCTGATGGATCTATCGTTAAAGCTGATGACGTTAGAGGAAGTGCATGTCCAGGCGGAGTCTTTATATTTGTTGACATCCCTGACGAAAGTTATTTACCAGCATTGCTTGAAAATCAAAGATTTATTGCTCATCAGGCTGGATGTGCAAACGAAGAAGACATGGCTTTAGTCGTTGTGCATTTTTCACCACAGGAAGTAATTGAGAATGAAAAGTATAAGGAATGGATGGATAGATTCTCACCAAGCACAAATCATCTTATTGTTAATGAACGAAATACATTTACTGGATATTTTGCATCACATCGCATTCAACGACAATTAAATGAACTTGATAGCTTTGTATTTCCAATGTTAAAGGAACCTCATCCATACATGGCAGTTAATGACATGACAATTGATGTATCGGAAATGGATGCAAGTCCATCAAAAAAGTTTAAAATTGATATTGAAGGAAATAAAGAAGACAAGTTTGCTGACTATCCAGAATTAGGTATTCGCAGTTGCTTCCATTTACGTCCACCAAAAGGATTTGATAGATTTAAAGAGCCTTATTCACATCCTGATAAAGTTATGGAAGAAACGTATGAAAATGCACCAGAACTAGCAAAGCTAATAACAGACTTTAAGGATGAATCCAGTAAGATATTTACTAGAACTAAAGCTGAACGAAATAAGGAATTCCCAAAAGTCACAACATTTGGAACTGGATCTTGCATTCCAAACAAAACTCGAAATGTCTCAGCTAATTTAATTCAAATCTCAGCTGATAATTGTGCTATTTTCGATTGCGGTGAAGGCACTTTTGGACAGATTGTTAGATTTTTTGGACGTGACGGTGCTGATGAGATTCTCAAGAATCTACGATTAATTTACATTTCACATTTACATGCTGATCATCATTTAGGACTGATTAATATTTTGAATAGACGACGAAAGCTGACAAATGACAAAGTTGTTCTGTTGGCACCAACTCAGATCAATTCCTTCCTATCGTTCTACAATTACCGGATTGAAGAAATATTCAGCACATATGAGCTGTTTCCATGTTCAGATTTGGTAAGTTTTTTAATAAAACAATAATAATCTTTCTTTATTTCAAATTTGGAATTATTGTAGTTTAAGTTACATTTCTTTGAGTCTTATTTTGACACCAGCCTGAATATGTCTTTAATTAACTATATCTTAATCAATTATTAATTTTGATGAATGAGATTTACATATATCATGAAAATGTGGCATAAAAAGTTTAAAAAAATTGCCGAGCGAGAAAAAAAAAAGATTTTTTTAAGCTTATGAATTACGTTAATAAATTATTTTTGAACTGGCTTGTTCGGTGCTGGTGGGCAGCTCATGAAGCCATACTTCACCATGATGAGGTGCATCCTTTGGGATCTTTCCGACTTCGTCTACGAAACTGCAGGACTGATTTATTGCTTCTTCAATGTTGGGGATTCTCTTTAGACGTTCTTGAGCTTCTGTGAATTTCTTGAAAAGGCTTTCATTCTTTACTGCTTCGTTGAGTTTCTCTGCATAACTGATATTATTGATCAGTTGTTGCCGATTAATCTCTTCTTGAGATGTTGCTGATGAGTTACTTGCAGCATTCACTGGATGTGAATGAGCAGAAACTTGATGTCGTTTGCTTAACGATGGAAAATTGTTACTGTCCAAAAGACTTGATATCTGTGGCAGCAATTTTAGTTGTGGTTTGGCTCTTGACTTTTCGATTCTTTTGGAATACGAAATGAACGATTGGCACAGTCTATAACTGGCAGCATGATCGCCATTGCAATTAATGCACTTGGCATTTCCATCACGAGTGGATCGTTGACATTGATTTGGTCCGTGAACTTCCGTGCACTTGACGCATCGGAATTTATATCCACAATTTTGAGATGAGTGACCCCAACGTTGGCAGTTGAAGCACTGCGTTGGGCTTTTGTTGCCCTTCTTGATGTTCTCCCACTTGACGATGATGTTGTCGATGTTACGGTGGAGAAACATCGACAACAAAGAGAAATTTGAAATGTTGAAACCCGTTAAAATTGGAATTTTAAAATGCTGTTACAATAATCTTTCATTTCTTTTACAGATAAGTTGGGACATAGAAGAATCGAAAGTTGAAGCTTTAGAAAAGCGTTTAGGATTAGAAAAGATCCAGTCTTGCTATGTCAAGCATTGTCCACACTCATTTGGTATATCCATTACAATGAAGAATGAAATGAAATCAGATATGAATCCAAAAGATACAGTTAAAATAACTTACAGCGGTGATACGATTCCTTGTGAAGATTTAATTAATATTGGTATGAATTCTGATATTTTAATCCACGAAGCTACAATGGAAGATGATTTGTGGAAGGAAGCACGAATTAAAATGCATTCAACAGTTTCGCAAGCAATTCAAGTCGGCAAGAAAATGAAAGCTCGATACTTGATTCTGACACATTTTTCACAACGATATGCCAAAATTCCATTGATTGAAGACAAAGTTGACAAGAAGAATATTGCAGTAGCTTTTGATAACATGGAAGTGACACTCAACGACCTCCCAAAAATGCATTTGATGTACGAGCCACTAAAAGTTATGTTTGCTGACCATTTTGAGCAAATGGAGAATAAAACACTTCGGCGACGATACATCCAGGAACGAAAAATCGATACGAATGTAACAAATGGAAATGGACAGAACTCTGTTAAAAAGTTTAAAGCTACAGAAGGTGATGGCTGAAATGCAATTGATGAAATGTTAAAAAAATGATTTTTTTAATCCAGTTATTGTTGATTTGAATTAAATAAAACTATTAAATGATTGATTAATTGAATTGGGAGTTTATTACATTCTTGTCTAGACTAAGTTACTTGGATCAACAGGCAGTTGTTGAGTTTTTCAGGCACTTTTAAAGAACCGTTAAATTATTTTTTGAATTTTGTCGTTAAATTTTGAAATCTGTAGACTGTAAAACTTTTTATACAATCTCGATTGAACCTGCTGACTTGTACTCATCATAGATTCACTTGAAATTTTACGATTCATCTAATCACGAGTCTAGTTCGGTGATTTTTCTAGAATTAGAATTTTCAGCAATCACATGATACCGATCAGAACTATCTCAATGGAATTTTAAAGTCTACATTTATGTAAATTTCTTTTTCTACCTTTTAATTTTCTTTACTTTATTATACCTAAATTCATATGTAAAATTTCATGAGTTGGAAGTTCCATCACGAGGAACAAATTTATGACCATCTTAATTAATGGCAGTTGCGCGACAAACCCAGTCACATGCTGTATTAAATTAAATTTAATGCTTCTTTTCGAGCACATTGAAAAGTTTGATAAATTGTTTGGTTCCTTTCTTTTGTAATGATCGAACAGATGTAATTTTAAGCAAGTCATTCAGCATCGCCACGAAAATTCCAAAAGGAACCAGTTTTTATCGTAAACATTTCGTCATCAAAATGCTATCAATGACCGCAACTCGATCAAAAAACAAGAAGCATCAAAACAAAAACAAATTAGAACTAGACATGCTGTGACTCATATCTTTTCGGAATTTCCTAGCATTGAATAAAGTCTTTTCAATATCTTGTCATTTTTAAGAATCAATAACAACATAAACGCAGCACAATAGGATGGAAATAAGATAATTTAATAGGATATGTTAACTAAGTACACATTTATTGACTTAAATGTCGTGTGAAAATGACACAGATTAGTAGTTGCTGTTTATCTTTTAGCACACTTTCATGACCAAAATCATCAACTAAACTATTGAGGCAGATTATGAAGAAGTTTATAACGTTTGAAAATGTTTTGTTGTAAGTTCGCACATCTTATAATGAATTGAAGCTTCATATCTAGCAAATACAGCAACTGGACTGTGCAATTATTCGAATGGTTCAAGATTAGTGCCATGGTTGATGAGACAAGTCTGAATTTCTCATAGTTTTCTTAATTTTCAATTGCCAAATTCAACTAGATATGTCCAAGAATCAAACATAGGATACAGAATCATTGAATTAGATGCCCAGCATCAAACGCATTACGCAACTACTATTTTTATTCACTTGTTCCTAACTTACATTCCATAAGATCATAGAGCTGTAAATTAGCATCAAAATAAATTAAATCATTCCACAATTACTTCCTGAATTTGTAAGTCGTCTTCGTTCGTAGCTTTTTTCATGTAACAGACAAACGATCGCGTCTACAGTTCATTGATCTCGCTACAATTATAATTGAACTTGACCTTCAAGGTAGTTAATAATGAGTAATCATTCACATGTGATTACTTGCAAAGCTTGTTAAAGGTAATTAATTTTGGAAGACATTGTACGGAACTTAAGAATTGCTTAAAAAATAAAATTGCTTAATTATTTTCAGAAAATTTATCAAGTTCTGTAAGTTTTCTAATTAAGTTTTAGTTTATGACTAATAAGTCTCATCTTGTTGGAGTTGTGAGAAGAATTAGGTAGCAAGAAAACAAATAAATTGTTTTTTTATTGCTTGATTGATGAGTGGATTCTAGGTATCTTTAATTAATTGTTGCTTGGCTTAAAATTGATGATCATTTTGTGTTTTGACACTTCTTTTGATTTTTGCATTGTTGCAAAAAGAATCGATATTTTTTGGTATTAAGCAGTATGTCACACCATGAAGATGTGTTAAGATAATTTTGAAAGTTTGAACGGCTTTCAAAAATTTGAATTTTAGAGATTTTTTTGAAATTAAAAACGTTTGCATCTTTTTAGCAAAATTCAAATTTTTTAAAAATATCGTTAATCGATTTTCAATCACAAAGTCACACCAAGCCTAAGTGATCTACAAGAATTCCATTTCTCTTTTAAAAATTCCTTTAATAAAATTATCATCATCATAAGGAATATGAAGAGAGCTATAATCGCTAAGATATGGTAATTTCCAATCAACTCAATTTGCACTTTTATTAAATGACTTGCTATTACACTGACTTGGATTCTGTGCTGTAATATCACAATTCCATTGGATGCATTGTTAAGTATACAATCTTATTGCCTAGGTATTATTCGTTTTAAAGATTTGCATTTACCGGAAATAATTTGAATTTTGCATCATTGATGCGAAGATTTAAAATTTTTAAGATCGTTTAAATTTGAATTTCAAATGTCGGTTGCAACGATAATCACATTGCAATTCAAAGACACGAGCAACTTCAATTATTCTAAGCCTTCACATGGATGGAAAAATTGCAAAATAACTAAGTCTATGTGAACTTGTGATTTTTGGCACCTCACGTATCAGTAAAAGTTTCCATAATGATTCCATCACATGCCCCACTCCATGTGATGTGCATCAATTAATTTTCGGTATTTCATTGACCGATCGCTACAAACAAATCAAACAAATTTTTTAATCGGGGATTTTTTTCTTTCTTTCTTGCTGTAGAATATCTTGTGGACAATATTTTTGTGTACACAAACTCGTTTCCATGATTGTAACGTTTGAAAATAATATTTACTTCAATTTTCCGCTCGCATATAAAAGATTCTCAAGTTGCGTTCTAGAGATTAGTCTAACTGAAGAAATCAGAGTGCAAACATAACCAAGAACTTAACAAAAATTAAGTCAGATCGTGTTCTAATATTTTTGTGGATATAACAAGTAAATAGAGACAAAACGATGGGAATTTACGTTAAAATCTTTGCCATTATGGCTGTATTGTGCGTGGTCAGTGCCTTACCAGTTGAGGAAGTCAAGCAAGTCAACGAACCACAAGTTGATCTATCAGCTGCTGAAGGCTCACCAGTGGCAGATACTGACGAATCAGGCGATGCATTAACAAGAGACAAGAGACATTTCATACATTATGGATATAGTAAGTTGATGACTTCAAATTAACACTTGGATGATAATTCTGGATATCTTCTATCCGGAATATTCTAATAATCTAGCAGAAAACATGTTTTGCACCATCGCATTTGTTTTGATTATTAAACTTGAATACTGTGTGGCTTTTACAGCCACAACAAATTGTGATGATGCAGTCACACATGTGCAAAAGATTATTTCTTTGATTACTAAGTTTACGATCAAATTAGATTCTTTTGTGGATGTGGGATCAGATGTAGTACTCAGAAGCCTTAAAGTGGGAACGTGGGAAGCCTTAAAGTGCTAAATTACGTGAGACTTTGCTTCTCTTCGCTTGACTATTGAAATAATTTCGGAATTTCCATCGGTCATTAACCGGTGCGATCATTTATCATTACATATGGTGTTGAAAAGATTTTTTCGATATGCTGTGCACCAGCTTGACAGAAGAAGGTTGTCATTGGCACCATTTATAATTTCCGATACTCATTCAAATGAGTGTTTTTTGATGTAATCTAATTATGCTGTGTAATTAGGTTTATTAAACTTTCATGGTGCATGATTTCTTTTAATGATGCTGACAAGAATCTAGAAATGATTTTAATTGAAATAGATCTATAGATCATTTAGTTGTGAAGCTCAACGAGGCCATGAGTTAGAATTATTCTATTTTTATATTGTAAGCTTAAAGGGCCTGTGAAGGGGAGGATTAATTTAAAAAATTCCAATCAACTCATTGAAGTTTCTAATTTTAACACAATTAATCAACAAATTTTTTTTTTAATTTCAGAACGGTGAGTCTTAATTATTTTCAATTTCAGAGCAGATTTTAATCATTTCCAAAATTTGATGGCACATTTCAGTTATCCAATTGGTAAGAAAAATTAAAATACAGAAAAGTTTTAAAATTGAATTTAAATGATTCTTAATATTTCGCAGGTGGATATTATGGAGGATACTACCCAGTCTCATATGGATATCCATATGGTAAATTTATATTAAATCTCTAGAAGATTGGTTGTAGAGCTGAACAGAGCTTGAGATTGAACTGAGTTCTTATTGAACTCATTAAAATAATGAATTTATGTTTTCAATTTTCAGGTGGATATGGATATGGATACGGCTACGGATATCAACCAATCGGATATGGAGGATTCTGGGGATAAATATTAATAGAAATCATCTAAAAAATCTCAGCGAAACATCAGTCATTACCATTGTTTTAAATTTTTCAATGTTCAGGAATCTTTCACATTGCTTAAAGTCATACCATAAACCAATAGTTTTATCATAAAGATTCACAAAAGTTTTGAGAATAATGTTCAGAAATTGCAAATAAAGTTCAAAATATTATTAATTTAAAATCTTTTTGATTCATTTGAGATTTGAATAATATTTATTGTAGGATAGTTGTTTGCCCCTTTTGATACAAATTTACAGACTGTTTACAAACTCCAAACAATAAGCATCGTTCTATTACAATACAAAACATGAGGTCTTATTTTATTAGCCACAATTACAAAAGTGGCTAGTACACTTACAAAAATGCTTCTTGTGATATTTTGAAACTTTTACAAGAAGTTCCTTTTCTTCAATGGAATCCTGATCTCTTAACGACATCCAGGATACAAAAGTTGACTTAACCTATTTCCATTGAATTATTAAACACACAAAACCATTTCAGGCTTATCACACAGTCAGTCAACCTGCAAATAATGATAACGTTAATTCGATGTTTTGACATTTTCTCTGGAAAAAGAGTTTCCACAAATGTACATCGAGTGATGAAAAGAAAACACGAAAATCACCTCTACAAGTAAGCACTTCTGCTGAAAAATGAGAATTTCTTAAGTGATGCGAACTTTTGACTCATAATTGACATGAGTGCCAATCAGATACGAGAAACTTATGATATACATCATAAACAAGTAACGAATGATCAATTAAAGTAAGCTTCAACTTACGGTACAATAGATTCTATCATCGATCAGGATTGCAGTGCCTTCAGCTCATCGCAACGTGTAGTAACACATCACCAGGCTGAAACCCTCTCACATTATTAATATGCTTTCTCGCTATCGGGATCGGGATCGGGATTTCCCGGGATTTACCGATCCCGATCAATCCCGGGATCCCGAAATTTATCGGGATCGGGATTGAAAATCCCGGTTTTTTTGTTTAGGAAATTATTGATGTTTTAGAACCTGCTAAATACGCGACAGAAGAATTATTGCGTAAATCAAACGATTTATTAATTTCTGAAGGAACAAGTAACTTTTTGCTAGACGAATTGTTGCTACAAGGAACATTATTGTCTCAAAAGGTTTACGATATGAATTGCGCTCGCATAGGTGCACGAAGAAATGGAACATTAATTGACTTAATACTTTACCTGAATAATCCTCAATATATTTCTTTAGACAAGCATTTTAAATCGTCAACAAAAGCTGCAATACATAAACTTGGCATTGACTTATTGAAGAAGTATTTTGTCAAAAACTCTACAAATGGAGCTATGGAAGCTTCAACATCCAGTGCAAATCAAATCCAACCGTCAAACATTTCTATTCGAGATAGACTGAAACTAAGCATATCTGAATATACATCATTAACAACAGATGCAGCAGCAACAGAACCAAATAACTTGAAAAGAGAGTTTAATTGGTATGACAAAAATAAGAAGAGAACCGTTTTATTAGATCAACTTTACGATGAATTGATAACAATGCAGCCGACCTCAACTCAAAGCGAACGAAATTTCTCTATTAGTAACAACATTCTTACAAAACAAAGAAAACGTTTACTTGACAAGAATCTAAATGCAATTGCATTTGTTAAAAGTTTTTTCATTAATGCTTAATTTTTATAATTATATTCACACCGTTTTCTATAACCTTTAAACTTACATCTTTATCAACATTTATTTTCTATTTTTGTTTATGTTCACATTTTTCAAAGGAAATATGGATTAAAACATCTACCTTGTAACACATAAAGTATAACTAATTAATTAAGGAATAAATGACCGTATAAGTAGCAAAAAAATATACAATTTTTTTTGGGAAAAAAAGCAGAAAAATGCTGTTTTTTAAATTTTTTTACATATTCGGGATTCCCGGGATTTCCCGGGAAATCCCGAAAAATTTCAATCCCGATCCCGATCCCGAAAATTTGTCGGGACCGGGATTTCGAGAAAGCATAATTATTAAGCTTCAACTTTATACACACGAATCCGAAATTATGAATTTTATAAGTTCGATAGTTTGTTCAAAACAGACTTTTGAATTCGCGGTCATTCAATATCGCTGAGACGAAAGAAAAGTTTTTTATTCCATCCAATTTAAATAATTCCATAACTTTTAATAGCGGCGACTGAAAAAAATGAAGAATTAATTTCCAAGGAATTTCATAAAACTTGCATTTAGTGGAATTAAAAGTTGAACAAAAGAAAGTTTTGAAATAAAATTAATAAGAAAGAAATGAAAGTTTTTGAGAAGATAAATTTCTTCGGGAACTTGACGTTTTGTGAGAACGGAAACTAGAATTTATTCGATAAAATAATATTTAAGTATGAAAAACTTATAAAGAATAGTTTGAAGGCAATTGAAAAATTTTGTCGAGGCTCGTTCACATTTATTTTTGGATCCTCACAGCTTTTGTATGATTTATTGATGCAATTCTTTTCTTGTTTACAGCAACTTTGTCGCTCTTACCTTATTTGACGATTTATATGCATAGGTTCATTAATTACTCATATTCATATCTCCTGGTTCTATCCAAAATGATTAATAATATTTTTTCTCACTCATGCGTCATTCATGAATGATGTCTAATGAAAAGGAAGTGGGTCTAGATGAGTGAAAATTTTGTTGGTCTGAAAATCCAATTTTTTGGTTGACGATTAAAAATGATGATTTCTCAATTTTTTTTTTAAATTTTTTTTAACGCCTTGTTGGAACCCCCCTCTCTTGTGACGTCATTTCTGAACAATTTTGTGGGATCAGTTCACTTAAAACTTTAGTTTGGAGGGAGTTTAGGTTGAATTCGGATTTTGTTTCCATAGATGAGAGGAGACGGAGTTCCATTATTGTCCTTTTACGTCATTTATGAACAACCCGTTACCACAAAAATAATTTAAAGTTCTGTATAAAAACTTCCGTATAGAAACAACTGAAGTAAAAATTGCTATAATTTATCTTGCCTTACAATTCATAACATAGCTCCTCCAATTACAGGTAACTATAATCTACAAATATGAGATAGGATGATAATGAGGACAACGACAAAAGAAAAGACTGAAAAAGTGGAAGTGAAATTTTTTTTTCATCTCTTTTACATCTAATTTGATCTTGTGATGGAGATAAAAAATGTTCGTGCTGGTTGTTTCCCTTCCATTTTTTCTCATTTCATGATGTAATTAAACTAATTTAACGAATTTATCTTTCATTAAACAAATGAGGTTTCGTTGTTGATAAATTTGGAAAGTACAAACCAGTCGTCATTATGATATTTTTTCTCAACGCTGTCTTTCATCATACATTATTTATCTTCCCACAACAGGAGATACTGGGAAGCTTGGTGTGTTTATGCATAATAGGCTAAGATGATGATGAAAAATTATGAATTAAATTTGAAATATTGTCTGTGCTTTTTAAATTTAATAATCTTTGAGTTATAAGACAACCAAAAAGTAGAAATGTAGAAGAAAATCTCAATTTTCAATTTAGTTCGAACAAAAATTCTGAGACTAAAGTACTTGAAGAATCATCAACAAATTGATCAATGCAAATGATATCACTCGATAGTCCTTACAATAGGTCATATTACTATTCAACAGACTTTGATATGGATGATATTTCCGAAGAAGAGAGTTGAGTCGTTGGAAGTGGTGAAAGCGTCATCTTTGGACTTGACATGCACCCAGATTTTTGTGATCCTATTTAGCAACTGGGTATAGAAATTGAAGACGTTAATGACGATAATGTGACAGGCTTTAAGTGGCGATTTTGAGGACAGCTATTATGTAACAAGGAGTGTCCATGTGACTGACTTTTGAGGAACAAGATTTGCTTTAAAATTGTAAGTTTATAGTAAGTCTTTCTTTTTGTCCTCATGAAAATCTGATGATCTTCTGGATTTATTTCTTACTCTCTATTCTGGGTACGGCGATGTTTTTGGATGGCGTCATAATGTTGAGAGAATTTCTTATCATCATCTAATATGTTTACTCAGTTCAGTATGATTTATATCTTTATTGCTAGATGGATCCAATTGCTTTAACGATGATTGAAAAATATTGTGGTGTCTTTGGTAATGGAAGATTGCTAATGGTTATCAGGAGCATAATTAGGGTGGGAGGGATAGTTTAGGGCTCCGTTTAAATGTTTCAAACCGTAAAAAACTCAACTAGACCATTCTCTTAAAAAACTTCTAGCTACGCTCCTGATGTCTATGTTTAGTCCAAAAACAGGAATACGCATCGATCATAATTCAAAGAAATCTTGGCTACACAGATTATTCTGCTTTTGCGAGGTTCTACTTATTTTTATAGCAATCACTGTCTTTTTAATGTCATTGGGATAGAAACTGCCTGCTGATAATGTCTTTAAGGATTTATAGAATCTTTTAAAAATGCCACACTTTATCTGCTTCATCTTTCCTATTGTGAAATTTTTATGGATTCATATGCTATATTTCCGAAAAAAAACTAGGTGCGTCAAATTATTTACAATCACCGTCAGGACAATATCATCAATTCCATTCCTTTATATGGCCGAGAAAACTCAGAAGAATTTTTAACCATGTAAACCTTATCGTTATCACATTCTTTCCACATGCAGGATGTCTTGTTGGCTATTAATTTATTGAGTATGTTCACGACATTTTTTCAATTCAATAGCTGAATTGTGATTGTTCATGACAAAAATATCTCCAATATTTCCTTTTAGAAATGCATGATGGTGCTTTCCTTTCGAAGCCATGGAAGCATTGTCATGCCATCTCATGTGATATGATTTCCTTATTCTGTTTAAAAAGAAAAGCTCATTCATAATGATTATGTTCGCTTTCGGAAGCGGCATCAACCTATTGTTCATTGTTAGCGCCGAAAAAAATCTTTTGGCTATGTTTTTTGGGGTCATTCATTTGTTACGTAACACAACAAAAA